TAATGCTGTATTAATTCTCTTAAGCAGTGTGTTAAATACGGTTTTAGGTTATAACATAATGTTAAAATAGAAGCTATGTTACGTAGGACACTTTTCTTTAAAGAAAGGACTCGCACTGAGATAGCAGCCACAGAACACCTGAATCTTTCAGAGAAAAAGAATTTATTGCCCCATTATCAGAAGAAACGAACTTCTTCCCGCCTTGAAGGCGCTGTTAGGATTCAGAGGAAGAAGTTGACACTGACCAGACAGAATCCTGTGTTTGAATGGAATTTATGCATCATGTATGAGGTGCATGAATATGCTACAGGCTGTTGGTTTTAAGGGTTAATCCTCTATTAATGTGTGTCCTTTTTCGGGCTTGTGCTGCCCATAAAAAGGTACCCGGATGTCTGTAACTCTTTGTCTCTATTGTCTCATATTGTCCTAATTCAAATTGTCCAAATTATTATTACTCTAATTGTATTTTTATAACCATTTTATTACTATTAAACTTTTAAAATTTTAAAAAACATGTGATTGGCGTTTTTCACAAGGAGGAGGGTGCAGAGGGAGGGGATGCAGCACACAGTGACACTGGGTGTGACAGTGACACCCCTGAGTGCTGTCACCCAGGGGAATCAGCATGGGAAAACCCCTGAGCACACAGAGCTTCACTGAGCACTGCACCCCACAGCTGGGCTGAGGGAGAAACGCTGGAATTAAAATGAAAGGGAGAGATGAAAACTGCACAGAGCAGTCAGAGCAAGGGGTCTGCTCACCCTGGAGTGTGCTGACCTTGCAGGGGTGCAGATAAAACTCCTGGCTCTGGCACCAAGCCTGTGCAGAGCTGGGGCTGGGAGCCCTTCCTGCAGGGTTTGAGACACTGAAAACTGGTACCCAGCTCTGCAAGGGCCAGGGCAGGGCAGGGAGAGGGATTTTGGAATGGTTGGAATGGTTTGGTTTGGTTTGGTTTGGTTTGGTTTGGTTTGGCTCAGAAACAAAAAGGAAAGGAAAGGACCATAAAGTCCCCTCAATCCCACCCCTGCCATGGCAGGGACACCTCCCACTGTCCCAGGCTGCCCCAAGCCCTGCCCAGCCTGGCCTTGGACACTGCCAGGGATTCCAGAATTAAAGTCAGGATTTGATCTGAGACCTTGGAAAAGGCTCCCAAACTCAGGTGACAGAAGGGAGAATGTGGATTTGGAGTTTAAAGCAGAGACAGGTAAAGCTAAGTAAAGGAAAGTTTAGACTTTTGGAGTTTAGGATATAAAAACATCATTACAGAGACAAACAAGGAGTTTAGAATGCAGCACTGTGGGTTTGTGTGCCATAACAAGATTGGCTAAGAAAGCTTACACTGCAGCACGAGTCCATAAGACAAAATATTTAAAGATTGGGTCAAAACCATAAATATCCTTGTTAGCAGGGTTTTATTGGTCAATAAATCCTTCAAAAGGTCTTGTAACTAAGAGTCTTGAGACCTTCTGAGCCAAGCTGTGAGGATGCGAGCCAAACTCACCCTTCCTGCCTATGTGGAAGATAAGAAAATAAACCTCATCATCAAAACCACCTCAGAGGTCCCATCTCAAATTCCTTCCAAAATCCCCCCCAAGTGAATTATCAACCTCCCACTGCCATTCCAGCCCTGCCCAGGGTCAGGACACCCAGGTCTGCCTTTTCTCTGGGTTTTATGCTGCACATCTGATAAGCTTCTCCTTTCCCCCCATATATTTCTGCTGGGGATAAAGATAATTTAAACAGTCCTTAATTGTTATGATTTTGTAAACAGTGTCTTAAACACAATAGACACAAAACTCTCAACAAACTGCTGGAGGAGATGTGACAGAATGGGGAATCATTTTCATATCTTCTGGGATTGCCCCAAATTGAAGCTTCTGGTCTGATGTTAGAAAATTGATGCAAAGATTTTTTCAGCAATATATCCCCCAAAGCCCTATTAGTGTGTGGGAAGGAAGATGCCCTGGATTTCTGAAATGAAGAAAAGAGAAAGAAGGAGGAAAAGAAAAGGATGGAAAAGAAAGAAACCAGAGAAGAGGGAAAAAAGAGGGAATAAAGGGAAGGAAGGATTCCAGGAAGGAAGGAAGGGAAAACCACACTCCTACATGAGTCCATATAGAGGAAAATGCTAAAAGCCCACACAAGTACAGCTATAAAATGAAATTTGCCTCCCTCAAAGCAATCCCAGGCACCATCCATGGAAAAACACTTGGCCACATTAAAAAAAACCTTGAAGTAATTGGCTGCTCATGGTGCTTTACCAAGTATTTTTTGAGATGATTGTCAAATGCAATTAACTGACATAAAAGTTGTGATATGAACTTCATTCTAACCATATTATTTGGAAATGTGCTTAGTATTTATAAAGATGCAAAAAAAAATGTTTATTAGGTGCTCTTTAGGTTAGGATAATTATATATGCACTAAATATAATGAGATGAAACTTCAGTAGCAGTAAAAAATAAAGCAATAATCTGCACAGAAACTGAGCCCAGGCAGTCAATGTATTTCTGTTATAGCTGATGCTCAGTTCTCTTTTGTGCCCCCAGCTCGGTTTTTTCCTTCATATTTTAATGTTTTTATGGGGGAAATCATTTTATGTGCTTATTTTGTGTGAAGGCTGAATATCTAAGCAAGATAAGTTAATGTATCAAAAGATTTAGCTGCATTTCATATGTAAAATTTGGTTGTGCTTAGAGCCTAATACTTGCTCCCTCCCACTCACATTTTACATACAAATCACTACATTTCCTAAAACTGCTGTACAGTTCTTCATTTGCTGCTCAAATCTGCAGCTGAGGTAGAAATAAAGTCTGGAGTTAAGGAAATCCACATGAAAATTTAGTTTTCAGTGGAATTGAGGTCTAAATGCTGTCACTGAGAGTAGAATTTCAGCTGATGTTTCTAAAGGGCTGTAGGAGCCTCTGGAATGGGACATTTGGTGTCCTGTGGGGGGAATTTGGGGCAGGAATAATCCAGCAGCAGGGATTTCTGGCAGATGTGGGATGCTCAGAGCCTCAAGCACAGCAAAACTGAAATCCTGCGATTGCAGCCCCTGGGCTGGGCTGGGGGAGTCTGGAACAGAGGAGCCCCAGGATGGGATGGACCCTAAAGCTGATCCAGTGCCAGACAGAAGGGGGAAGAGAAGGATGGAAAAGAAAGAAAAGAGAGAAAAGGTAAAAATGAGGGGAGGCAGGGAGGCAGGGAGGCAGGAAGGAAGGAAGGAAGGAAGGAAGGAAGGAAGGAAGGAAGGAAGGAAGGAAGGAAGGAAGGAAGGACATGGGCAGGGACACCTCCCAGGGTTTCCAAGCCCCATCCAAGCTGGCCTTGGACCCTTTCTGTGACTCAGCTGCCTGTGGTCACTTCTGATCCCGCTGGGAATTGTCCTCCCCAGGATATCACAATTCCCAGCACTCCTTCCAGCCCTCTGTGCCATCCTGCAAGCTCTTCTGATGTCTTACTTGAAAAGCCCAAATATATTTTCAGACTCTCCAGGCAATGGCTCAGCAGCAGCAGCACACATGGATGGAAGGAACAAAAGCAGCCCTGGCCATCTGGATAACTCAGAGAGAGATGTACCTCTGAATCACACCCTCATTTGTAGTCAGCTCATCCCAGTCCCTCACAACAACCAAATTATTAAGGCACAGGAAGCACAAGGAATCCAAGACCATCAGTGGATCTGCCTTCAGTTTTTTTGTCTCTTAAGAACATAAAAAAGCAAAGCATCTGTTAGGAGCAGAGGGAAGTGGAATTGTTTTGTCACATTCCCTGGAGTGCTTGGATGCAGTGGGACCCTGGTGCTGCATTAAAGCTCCTGGGCAGGTCAAGGGCAGCTCCAAACCCAGCAGGGGCTGGATTTTAAGAATGACTACCAAGACCAAAGAGAAGACAGCACAATTTCAACCCTATTTCTCCATTTTCTTCTCTTTTTTTTCCCCCTCAGGAAGGTAAAAAAGTAAACAGAATAAGCAGTCAGGAACATTGGAGGCTGTCAGTTCAGGCTCAATAAATACTGCTGTGGCACTGATGAGTTCAAAGCTGACACTCTTCCTCCTGGAGTGTTTGCAAGACAGAAAATGAAGTCCTAATAGCACAGGCTTACCATGGAAGCAATTTTTAGGCTGAAGAGATGCCTGCCTCCTCTGGGAAGGAGAAACCCCCAGGGTTTTAGGGGATCTTTCCAAGGGCAATTGTTCTCCCACCCTCCTTAGCAGCAGGGAGATTTCTGTATGTGAGCACAACTTGCAATAAATCAGCTCCAGAACAGTCAGGATGAGGTTTCAGAATTCAAAACAAACACCAGGACAGAAAGAGTAACAAATACAGAGATTCAGAGCTGCCAGGAGTGACAGAGATGAGATTTACTGGGAGCTTAGAGCAGGAGGAATGGATCCCATTCCAAAGGCACAGAGGGCAGGGAGGGACACGGACAGGACTGAAACAAGGCAGCAGAAGAGGGAGGAGAGAAGAGGGGACCAATCTGAGGGACTGAGGGATCAGTCAGAGCTTGGTCTGGTGGCACAGACACTGGGGAACAGGGTTTGGGTGCCAGGGGCTGGATGGAGCCAGGGGATGCCAGGGTTGGGCTGGCTCCAAGGGAAGGGGGACACAGCCCAGGCTCCTCTGCTGCTCAGGGAAACCCAAAGGAGGGGACAGAAGGGCTGGGGGACAGGGCTGAGCAGAGAGAGGCCATGGAGGGAGCAAAGAAACATCTCCAGGCTGGGTAAATAGGGGGAGGAAACCCAGTGGGAAACAAAGGAGAATCTTGGAATTAGACACAAGGCTGATCAGCACAGTTAGAAAAGACTGGGCCATATTTCCCTGTGCACACTACTGAAAATATGGGCCTGTGTTTAATGCCAATGGGAGCCACCAGCCATGCAGCACTGCCAGGGGAATATTTCCATTAACATTAAACACATTTGGTACCAGTAAATGTTACTGGCTGGCAGAGGAAAGTTACAACGTGTGTAATTTTGCTCTTTGCTTTCTCTTACCATGTGTAGGTGTCTGGTTGTCACTGTTTAGTATCAGGTGATTATAATTTTGTTCTTGGTCATCTGAAATTCACAGAAAAAAAAAATCCCTTTAAGAACCAGCTTAGCATTGCCACTGATCTGCAGATGATAATTACAGCTCACAGTATCACAGGAAATCTCAGCATGATTAAAGAAAGGAGAAGGAAATGCTTAAGAAAGCAGAAGATTCTGTTATGCAGTTCACTTAAAATTCCAGATGCAAGGAGAACACGATAATGGGAATCTGCTCCCCTTCTGCTGAGCCTGCAAATGAGAGTTCTGTGCAAAGGTGGGAATCATGTCCAGACAGGAGCACACCCAGCTGTACCACGGGCTGGGCTGCTCCTGGAGGCTGCTCCAGCTCCATCATGGCTTGGGAGCTTTGGAGGCCTCAGGATGTGAGCCCCAAGCACCCAAACCCAGCCTGTCCCACTGTGAGCACAACCACGAGCACCAGGTCCTGTGTGGGCACAGAGAGGAGTCACAGGTGTGGCCTGGAGGGGTTCAAGAGCTGCACATGAGCTCTGCTCCCTCCCCAGGGAATGGGAATCCTGGGAGGGAGGGCAGGGGAGCCATCCATGGCAGAGCATCCAGGGCAGCTCCCACACCAGTTCCATCCACTGCTGGGACTGGGCTGGGAGAACAGCTCTATCTCCTTCCCCTGCAATGAAATCATCAGATAAGGGACTCCTGATAAGCCTCCACAGCCTTTAGCTTTCAGTAAGGGCTGAGCTCCTTGTCCAGACATTCCCACCCTTGGTGGAGCTGCAGCAGTGCGGGATGAGAGGAGATCTCTGGGACCCCTCATGTCCTGCCCTGCTGCTGCAGGGGTCACTCCAGGGCTGCTCTGCTATTCCCAAACCTTTCATGGACATCTCCTTCCCCAAGAAGTTCTGGGTCTCTGAATCTTCCTTTCTGCTTTTCAGACCAATTCCTTCTTCCAGGGATGTGGAAAGAACCCCCCTTATTCCTGCCCAGCCCTTTATGAGCACGGTTGCTGTCTGCTCCTTTATCCTTGGTGCTGACACCATTCCTTTGCTGTTTCCCTGTTTTCCTGCTTTGCCCCCTGTGCTCCCACTGCCCCAGATCCCCCTCAGCTCTGGGATGTGTTTCTGAGACAGCCCTCACCAGGACAGAGTGCAATCCCTGCTCTGTCCCCAGTCAGCTCCTCTTGCTCACACAAACCTCTGATATTTTTCTTTTCCTGGTTCATGTAAAGTCTGTGATCCTTTGTGGTTCCTTATTGCTTTTCCAAGGAACTCTCCAATTGTTCTCCAACACAGAAAAGGCTTTTTAGCATTCCTGCTTCAGCCTGAGGCATCTCATTTTTCTCCATTTAATCAATTTATTTGCAGGCTATTTATCCAATTTGTCAAGAACATTTTAAATTCTAATCCTGTTCTCTAATAGACTTACAGTCATCCAAGGTTCATATCACCTGCAAATTTAATAAGTGAATTCCTTTTCCACCAGGAACAAAGAGACCAAATCCAGAACCACACCAGGGCCATCCTTCCCCTGATATTTGGTCCCTGCATGGTCACTCAGCCCTCATTAACAACCTCTTCTCTAATTAATCTCACATTGCTTTGCTAGAAACTGCTGGAAACTTTGCTGAGTTCACAATCTTTTATATGAAACATGGCCATAAAACACAGGGAAAAAAACAAACAGAAAATAAGGTTAAGTTGCCATGGTTTGTTTCTGAGTGTTGGCTGCTTGCTTATCTCTCTCCTTCACTATGGGGAGAGTCTAGGTGCAACTGGGATTAAAATCAGGGTTTATTATTCAGGTGACATCACACTGGGCATCTTCACCTGCCTCCTGCTCCATCCAGAATCCAGGCACTCCTTATATCCCAGACAGATGGAAAAATGGGAGGGTTTTAGCCTGGCAGCCAGTATAAGATGACCAAACCTTGAGAGGAGCTCAGGGACACCCCAGGTGCCCTTAAATAAGTGTCCTACAGGTTTCCCTAGTTGGAATTTTCCTTCACTGTTGGTTGCTTTCAGAAAGGAAAAATTCTGCAGGAACTCCTTTTGTGACTTTGTTTCAGTTTCTGTCCCTCCAGGTAGTAAAATTTCACTTTAATGTGAAAACCTGACCAGAGGATGGGGGACAAATAAGAAACTGGATATTTCTGGGGCTGTCTGGAGGGATTTTCAGAGCTGAGGGATCAGATGGGTTAATTTTCACCTGGTTCCCAGCAAGCATGATACAGATCCCTGCTCATCCCTGGAAGTGTTCAGAACCACATGGACGTGGCACTTGGGGATGAAGTTCAATGACCAAGGAGGTGCTGCTGGCTTGGTGGCTGGGCTGGATGACCTTAAAGGTCTTTCCCTTTCCTTTTCCCCTTTCCCCTTTCCTTTTCCCTTTTCCTTTCTCCTTTCCTTTTTCCTTTTCCCTTTTCATTTCCTTCCTCCTTTCCTTTCTCCTTTCCTTTCCTTTCCTTTCCTTTCCTTTCCTTTCCTTTCCTTTCCTTTCCTTTCCTTTCCTTTCCTTTCCTTTCCTTTCCTTTCCCTCTAAAACCTCAGGTATTTTGAGGCTACAGCTTCACCAACTTCGCCCAGCCCTGTCAGAACCTGAATTATTGGCATTTTGATGTGGCTGAGCTAATCAAGCATCTGAATGCAGCACTGAGCTTCATTTACCTCTTCTGTAGCCCTTTGTAAACACTTTCTAAGCAATAAAATACTTTAAAATGACGCCGGAGCCTTCCTACACCTCCTCAGGTTTAACAAGATAACGCTGTTAATTGTGAAGTGCCGGTTAGGCAGGAGCTTATCCATTGTCAGACAAGGATCTGAGTTCAAAGCTATTTACCAGGAAACTCCATTAGGGGAAGAAAGGAGCCACAGGGCTCTGAATTGCCAGGACACAAAAGGAAATTTGTGAGCGCAGCTGGAGGAGCCATCAGATAAAATAACCAGCAGAAAGAGTGAGATGTTGCACTGGGAAAAGGGAAACCAGTGCTCCCACTCCTTTGCAAACACGTGCACAGGAGGCACGTTCCTTTCCATTTGCAATTTGTTATTTTATTTTTATTATTATTTCTTCTAACATATTTTATGTTTTAAAATATTCATTTTTATATTTTAATTCTATATTATTTTTATTTATATTTCAACTTCTTGTTTATATTTCTTTTAATAGATTTTATATTTTAAAATATTTATATTTATCTTTTAATTTTATATATTTTTATATTATATTGTCATTTATATTTCCATTTATTATTTCTCTTTCTTTGATTAAACTGCCTCTATCCACAAGTGTTCTCACTTTTAGCCTTCCAATTCTCCCCTGCATCCCAAGACTGTGTTCCCAGCTGGGTTAAACCACAATCAGCACCTGAATTATCAGCACCAAGGTGTAAAACTCTCTGTAGCTGTTAAAGAACACTCTAAATATCCCCCAAAGAGTTTCTATGCACTTCCTACCTAGAAAAATCTCCTTTTTCCACTGATTTAACCTTTCCTTTGGTACTTGGTTTTAGGCTTCTCCAGCACCTATTATTTTTTCTCAGTCTCAAGGATTTCATATGGGGATTTTCCTAATAAAAACTTGATTTATTATGTTCTATAATGAAAAAAAAAAATAAATCAAGTGTCAGAATATATAAAGAAAATTCTGTATTTTCCAGCCTGTCTTTCCTAATAAGATTCCTTATGAAATCTGCAAAGCAAGGATATTTTTAATATATGCCAGCTGCATTACAGATACACCTGTAAGTGTGATACAGATATATGATCATTCTGACAGTCGTGCTGTACTTTGCATTCGTTTTAGGGAATTTATTAAAGCACTTGGAGCTGCTCTGAAATCTGGAGTTAACAGGAGAAAAGAATGGCCTGGAAAGGAAAAAAAGGGGGGGGGAGGGAGAGGAAGGAAAAAAAGAAAGAAGGGAAAAGAAAAAAAAAGGGGAGGAAATGAGGAAAAAGGGGTGAAAAAAGGGGGAAAAGGAGGGGAAATGGAAACAAAGGCGAAGAGGGGAAAAAGGGGAGGGAAAAGGGAGAAAAAAGGGGGAAAAAAAAGGAAAAAGGGGAAAAAAAGAGGGGGAAAAAGGGGGGGAAAAGGCCTGAAGAGGAACCATCAGCCTATGAAGGGACCCAGGGCAGGGGTGGAATCCTCATTCCTGAAGGAATTTAAAGATGGGTGGATGTGGCATTTGGGGCCATCAGTTTGTGACTGGACACTTTGAAGCTTTTCCCACCTCAGTGATTCCATGCAAAACAATTCTTTGCTTTCTGCCCCTCTCCTCTTGTCACCAGAACTGCTGAGATTGCAGGGCAGGATGGAAATCTCCTTGATGCCTTCACTAATGAAGAGAAAATCCCTTTCCAGGGCTGAACTCCCCTGAGGGACCCAGGGGAGGGCAGGGAGGAAAGGAGCCCAAAAGCTGCTGAGGAAAATGGAAATACTTCCAGCACAAAGTTCATCGCCCACCAGCACTTTCTGGTCACTATTTGCATTCCAAAGGAGAAGCCTGGAGCAATTGTCCTTCAGCTGCTCCGTGGTCACAGAGCTGGGAAGGGGAAGCTTTTCCCAGCCCTTTTCCAGGGATTTTGGGCAGTGAGAGTGGCAAAGTGCAGCCCAGGGATGGGGGAACAGAGCCCCAAACCCTGCCTGAGCTGGGTCTGCCCAGCTCAGAGTGATAGGCACAGGAATATTCATCTAATAAATCATTAATTCCAGCTGCCTTTGGTGTGCAGGATCCAACATCTCATTTACTTTCCTGTGCTGTGAATATCCTGCTTACAGTGTTCTGCACCTGCCTGGCACTGCCCAAGATGTTCTGACCCCCAAAATGTTCTGTGCAAGAGGCAAAGGAGCCAAACCTGAGAGCTGACCCCCAAAATGTTCTGTGCAAGGGGCAAAGGAGCCAGACCCGAGAGCTGCCCCCCAAAATGTTCTGTGCAAGGGGCAAAGGAGCCAAACCCGAGAGCTGATCCCCAAAATATTCTGTGCAAGGGGCAAAGGAGCCAAAGCCGGAGCTGAACACTGGTGGAGCAGCAGGGCAGGATCAGAGGGGCTGGAAA